TCGCAGCAATTGTGGAACGAAGACAGAACTGTGGATGACGAAAGCAAAACGAAAACGGACAACACTGTTTCACTCGAGCCCTGCTCAGGTCAGGCCGAGGACCGTGTCCGCGGCAGGCGCCCGCACGCCACAGGCCGCGCCTGGCCCCCGGGGGGGGCCCCCCCTTGGCCCTCGGGGGGGGCCGCGGCCGCCCGAGGCTCCGCGTGGCCTTTGGCTTTCTGCCAGCCCCCCGGAGGCCCTGCAGGCCAGAGCCTTTTTGCATCGGCCTTCCTCCCCCTCCTCCCCGTCCCCCTCCTCCTCCTCCTCCTCCTCCTCCTCCTCCTCCTCCTCCTCCTCCTCCTCCTCTCCTCCTCCTCCTCCCCCTCCTCCCCTCCTCCTCCCCTCCTCCTCCTCCTCCTCCTCCTCCTCCTCATCCTCCTCCTCCTCCTCCTCCTCCTCCTCCTCCCTCCCTCCTCCTCCTCCTCCTCCTCCTCCTCCTCCTCCTCCTCCTCCTCCTCCTCCTCCTCCTCCTCCTCCTCCTCCTCCTCCTCCTCCTCCAAGGCGTTGTCCGTTAGGAGGAGACGGGGGTCAATGCAAACGGGGGTCAGCCAGGGCACTGGATCCTGCAGGATCCTGCAAAGACCCCCTCGGGCTGACCCGGGTGGGCGAGCCGCTCGTGGCCGCGAGGCGGCCGCGCAAACTGGCTGACCCGGGTTGGCGAAGATCTGCGTTGCAGGTTTTCTGTTCCTGCATTGCAGTTTTTGGCTTCCTGCTGACCGGGGTCTGGATTGACCCGGGTCAGAAGATCCCCGACTTTGCGTCGGGGGTGGACAGACCTCCTACCCTGACGCGTCGATTAGCGAATTTGCCGTTTTCAATTCGCGAGGGGGCGTCGCGGCCGTCATTCTTGCGGGCCGAGGTCCGTTGGTTTCGGTCTCAGACCGTTTTTACCTAACAGCGAAGACTGATAGGTTTCTAGTGGGGTCAAAAGAGAGCATCATGACTCCTCAGGGGGGTCGGGGCGGGACCCGGGGCGGCTGCCGCCGAAGCCCAAATCGCCTGGGACATCCTCGCAAAATCGCTCTTGGCGCTGCTAGAACTCCATTCCCGGCGTACATTTTGGATGCCCAGAGCCAACTGTAGGCCACTTCGTGGTCTTCGAGTTCCCAGAACTCCATTCCCGGGCCACATTTTGAATTCCCGGAGCCAACTGTAGGCTTTTCGTGCTTCCGACTTCCCAGAACACCATTCCCGGGCCACATTTTGAATGCCCGGAGCCAACTGTAGGCCACTTCGTGCTCTTCGAGTTCACCATTCCCGGGCGACATTTTGAATGCCCGGAGCCAACTGTAGGCCACTTCGTGCTCTTCGAGCTCCCAGAACTCCATTCCCGGGCCACATTTTGAATGCCCGGAGCCAACTGTAGGCCACTTCGTGCTCTTCGAGTTCCCAGAAGAACTCCATTCCCGGGCCACATTTTGAATGCCCGGAGCCAACTGAGGCTGAGGCAGGCTGCTGCTGAGGCAGGCTGAGGCTGAGGCTGAGGCAGGCTGAGGCTGAGGCAGGCTGCGGCTGAGGCTGAGACTGAGGTTGAGGCTGAGGCTGAGGCTGAGGCAGGCTGAGGCAGACGCTGAGGCAGGCTGATGCTGAGGCTGAGGCTGAGGCTGAGGCTGAGGCTGAGGCTGAGGCTGGCAGGAGGCTGAGGCTGAGGCTGAGGCTGAGGCTGAGGGCAGGCTGAGGCTGAGGCTGAGGCTGAGGCTGAGGCTGAGGCTGAGGCTGAGGCAGGCTGAGGCAGGCTGAGGCTGAGGCTGAGGCTGAGGCTGAGGCTGAGGATGAGGCTGATGAGGCAGGAGGCTGAGGCTGCTGAGGCTGAGGCTGAGGCTGAGGCTGAGGCTGAGGGCTGAGGCTGAGGCTGAGGCTGAGGCTGAGGCTGAGGCTGAGGCTGAGGCTGAGGCTGAGGCAGGCTGAGGCTGAGGCTGAGGCTGAGGAGGCAGGCTGAGGCTGAGGCTGAGGCTGATGGGCTGAGGCTGAGGCAGGCTGAGGCTGAGGCCGAGGCTGAAGGCAGACTGAGGCTGAGGCTGAAGCAGGCTGAGGCTGAGGCTGAGGCAGGCTGAGGCTGAGGCTGAGGCAGGCTGATGCTGAGGCAGGCTGAGGCTGAGGCAGGCTGAAGGCAGGTGAGGCTGAGGCTGAAGCAGGCTGAGGCTGAGGCTGAGGCAGGCTGAGGCTGAGGCTGAGGCAGGCTGATGCTGAGGCAGGCTGAGGCTGAGGCTGAGGCTGATGCAGGCTGAGGCTGAGGCAGGCTGAGGCTGAGGCCGAGGCTGAAGGCAGACTGAGGCTGAGGCTGAAGCAGGCTGAGGCTGAGGCTGAGGCAGGCTGAGGCTGAGGCTGAGGCTGAGGCAGGCTGATACTGAGGCAGGCTGAGGCTGAGGCTGTGACTCTGACTGCCGTTGCCACTGCGACTGTCATCGCGAATGCGATTGCGACTGCGAGAACAGGCGAATTCTACAACTGGATTCTCATCTGGATCTTAAGGGCAATGTTTCCATATATGCTTCTACACATCGCTGTTAGGTTGCTTTGCCGGGATAATTTTCTTTGAAGGGTGGCTTACTAAAGGGAGGCTTGTCCACCGCCGATTGCACAGGCAGCCTGCACAACTAGTGCTAAGTCGGGCCTGTCCCTCTCCAGGAGGAATATGCCAAAACATCAAAGAATAGTCGGGGGACGATTTGTTTTATTATTGTTTGACCATCTTGGAAGATTGTCTGGCTATCTTTGTACTGTTTCGTCCGCAATCCCCCCGTAGGTTGACACGCCCGACCTAACACCAGGAAGGACGAGCGACTCTCCAGGGTCACCCTCGCATCCTTCCCCTTCGGCCCGGCCTTGGCCCCTGTCGCTGGCCGCGCCCCGCCCGCAGAGGGTCGGCGGGGCCCTCCAAGGCCCGGGCATCCTCGCCCGCGCATCCTTGCTGCACGGGCCGCCCTGTGCACCGCGACGCGCCTCCCGTCCCGCGGCGTTTTGCTGCCGGCCCCGGGGCTCGCTGGGCGCCCCGAGGGGCCCGACGCGGGCAGAACGGCAGCCTCCCGTGGCGACTCCCGCGCCGCGGGAGGAGGTCGTGGGCCTGCACCGTGCGCAGGGGCAGCGGGCGCCCCCCCCCCCCCCATCATGAAGCTCTTCGCCCGCGCGCCGCACGCGGCACGCACAGACGGCCGGCCGCGCGCGCCCCTGCTGCTCGCGCTCGCCTGCGGCGCCGCCCTGCTCGCCGGCCGCGCCTCGGGCGCCGCGCAGGCGGGCGGCCGGGAAGCCGCGCGCCTGGCCGGCCGCGCGGCGCCGCCGTCGCGCGCACGTGTAGGGTTTCCCCGAAGGGCTTGGGCGGCCCGTCCTCCTCCTCCTCCTCTGTCCTCCTCCTCCTCCTCCTCCTCCTCCTCCTCCTCCTCCTCCTCCTCCTCCTCCTCCTCCTCCTCTGTCCTCCTCCTCCTCCTCTGTCCTCCTCCTTCTCCTCCTCCTCCTCCTTCTCCTCCTCCTCGGGTCGCCTACGGCCCCGTGGGAAACCGTGCACGCGCACCCCCAGCACGAAGGGCGTCGGAGGAGGAGGAGGGATTGCCGATGCCGCCGCCCTCCCCTCGTCGCCGCGGCTGGCCTCGCCCCGAAGTCCTGGTCAGAGCAGTGCGCCTTGGCAGGTCGGGGGAGCAGCGGCAGAGGTGGTCCTGGGCCCCGGGGCCCCGGGGCCCTGGTGGCTGTTTGATCCCAGGGCCCCGGGGTCCTGGAACCCTCCCTGCCCCGGGGGCCGTGCAAGAGCGGTTTGTGGTGGAGAGCTGGTCTGAGATGTGACCACGCTCGAGGGGGGCGCACGGGGATGTAGAGAGGGGTGGACAGGAGGACTGAACCACCCGCATGCCCTGGCCCTTCTCAGCTCCCTGGCCTTCCAGGGGAGACTGACGGAGCACACCAGGCGGAGGAGGAAGAGGGGAACGGGGTGAGGGAGGAGTAGAAGGCTGAGGAGGAGGAGAAGGAGGAGGAGGAGGAGGAGGAGGAGAAGGAGTAGGATGAGGAGGAGAAGGATGAGGAGGAGGGGAAGGAGGAGTAAGGGGGGGAGGAGGGGGAGGACCTGGAGTGCAACTGCAGGAGAGAGGTGTCTTTCCAGGCAGGGGTCAGGAGCGGCCTTCTGACAGATATCCTCGCCCGATCTCCACCCAACCTGCGACGTCGGCGCGAGGCCAGCAGGATGAAGGGAGTTATCGTCATCGGGGCGTCCTAGAGAAGGGTGGGATCATCGGGGTGTCCTAGAGAAGTGTGGGACGTGTGTGTCTGTACGTGTGTATTTGTATGATTGTGCTTGTGTTTGTGCTTGAGTTTGCGTTGGCACTTGTAGTTGTATGTGTGTGTGTGTGTTGTGTGCGTGCGTGCGTGCGTGCGCGCGTGTGTGTGTGTGTGTGTGTCTGTGTGTGTGTGCAGATCGTGGCTGGGGCCACGATATCTCCAAGACTTCATGGCGGTAGCTATGACCCCCCCCTGTAGAAAGGGAGGAGGGGGGGTAGCCTGCGGAGCGCGAGAGGGAGGGGGGCGGGCAGCTTCCGAGGGGCAGGAAGATAAGGAGGGGAGGGTCAGGCAGGGCGGGGTCCAAGGAGGGGTTAGCTAAGGGGGGATGACCCCCGCCGTGTGAGAGTGCACCACGGGTGCGCTCTCTCTCTCTCTCTCGCATAGTTTTTCACACGTTAGCCAGCCGAAACTCAAGCCCATGGGGAGTGGCCGCAGCCTGCTGCGGCCTCGGAGAGCGACTGTGCGGCCAGGGCGATGCGCAGTAGCCCGTGGGAGCCTTTGCCGCGCCCAAGCACGAGGTATACATTATTTATTTTTATATATATGTATATATATATATATATATATGTCTTGCTTTTTTGCTTGCTTGCTGGCTGGCTGGCTCTCTCTCTCTCTCTCCCTTTCTCCGTCAGGCCGGTCCGGCGCGCAGCTGCCCCCCTGCCGATTTGTGCTTCCCCAGGCGGGCCTCGCCTGGGCAGGGCCCGACCCCGGCGGCGAGGCCGCCGCGGCGGCCGACGAGCACGCGCTCCTGCAGCTCGGGCGGCTCAATGCGAGGACTCCTTCGGAGGTGGATAGACCTCCTACCCTGACACGTCGATGAAGGAATTGGCCGTCTTCGGTTCGCGAGAGGGCGTCGCGGCTGTCATTTTTGCAGGTCCAGGTCCGTCGGTTTCGGTCCCAGGCCGTTTTCACTAAGGGGAGGTTAACTAAACGGAGGTGTGTCCACCGCCGACTCCTTAGACCCGGACGTGCTCGCGTCAACGGCGTCGGTGACGACGGCGTCGGTGACGGCGACGACGACGACGACGACGACGACGACGACAGCGACGATGCCAGCGACAACGACGACGTCGGTGGCGGCGGCGACGACGACAGGGACGACGCCGAGGACGTCGGCGACGTCGGCGGCGGCGTCGGCGTCGTCGTCGTCGTCTGCGTCTTCGTCGTCGGCGGCGTCGTCGGCGTCGGGGTGGATGGGTCCTTAGACTCGGACCTGCTTGCGTCATGACAAAATCGGTACGGAGATTGTTCTTCGCTCTGTGCCGTTCTGGGGCCCTCGCCATGCCGCGGGACCGTCAAAACACGGCTCAGGATGAAGCACCAGTCCTGGGGAGAGGCTCCGAATTTCTGGCTCTCCCGGTTATCGTCGGCACTCTCCTCATCATGAAGCTCCTGATCTTCCGACGCGGGGAACCCGCGGCGCGAATCCATGGGGCTTCGCGAACCGTCTGACCCGCTGAACTCCGCTGAACTCCTCTCTCCTGATGCTGCTTCTGCCGTCGTCCCTTTCTTCTCCATCCGCTCTTTTCCCTCGCCCATCCTCCCTCGATCCCCCCTCTATTCCGGAAGGACAACGAGCATAATAAGAGTGACGAGGGGAAGATACATGGGAGAGGAGGAGGAGGAGGGGGAGGAGGGAGATGGGGAAAAAGGGGGGAGGGAGGATACGAGAGGAACCACAACACTAGGAGGAGGTAGATGAGACGGAGGTTCAGGTGGAGAAGGAGAAGAGACTGGGGTAGCTGGATGGAACGAGATGGATCAACGGGAGGATCCGGAGGAGCATGAGAAGCAGCAGGAGGAGAGAGAACACGAGGAAGGAAGAGGGTGAACTTGATGAGGAGCGCAGCAAGAAGGAGCATATAGAAGAGGATGAGATGGACAGGGAATGGGGAACGGGCAATGATGATGAACCCGAGAGGGAGGAGCAGAGTGGCAAGACATTGCAGAAACGGGGCAGACGAGGAGGATGGGAGCAGCAGAAGAGAGGAGGAGCAGCAAGGGGGATCGAGAGGAAAGGGAGCAGGAAGTGGAGCAGGAGGAGGACGAGGAGGAGCAGCAGTGAGGGGGACGAGGAGGGGAGGCGGAGTTGGAGGAGCTTCCCCGTGGCAGCCGAGGACCGCGCCCGCGGGCGGCCATCCCCAGGCGGCGCCGGCGACCGCGCCAGCGGCGAGCCCCGGGCTGCCGGAGGTCGAGGCCCCCCTGCCCCCCCCGCTCAAGCAGCGGCGAAGCGTCCTGGCTCGCCTATAGCCCATGCAGACAATGTTCGAAGGACCCTTCTGTTCTGGCGGAGCCGGTCTTGATGTATCACATCGGGTCTATGTTCTGAGAACACATCGGACAGCGTGAGCAAGCCCATGCACGGAAAATGAGGCGCGGGGTTCAGGGTCTCCCCCTCACACACACACACGCGCGCACACCCGCACATTGTTTCTGGCTGTGCCAATCGCATTGCATCGGATTGCATTCGTTTGCAACCGCAATGCCTTGCATTGTGTTGCCTTGCTTTGCACACGACTCACACCGCATTAATTCCGCTGCGTAGCTTGCACCCTGTAGATCGGGCCACATATATTGAACCACGTAGCTTGCACCCTATCGCTCACACCACCTAGATGAGGACGTTGGCTCCACATAGCTTGCACCACATAGGTTACACGAACTAGCTGACACCACAAATATGCACCGCATACGATGCACCATCTGGATTTCACGTACTGTGTCTCACACCACATAGATCGTACCACCTCTCACTTATGAGTAATAAGATTTATCCCCCCGGAATGAACGTACCCCGTTTCGTATGGCAGTGTGCATCTGATGTTGCCCCATCGTCCATCCGAAACATGAATTCAGACAGCGCCAGCCAGGCCAATACCGCCTCCCCCTTTCATCCTCCGCAACAAACATTAACATGTGCGCGCACGCATCGATCAAAAACCATCGGTTTGCAAGAACCCCCTGCGAACATCGGGACGACGTGCACACGCGCGCGTCGTCGCGCGCGCATGCCGAATCCTTTCAAACAGTTACCAGGCCCTTTACGTATTTGAAGATCGAGTGTCCCGAAAACATTCAACACCATGGTTTCCCAACACGGGGTATCAAAAACAAACTTGCGCTCGGGCTCTTGTGGATTTTCTGGGAAACCACATTGTTCAACATTTCCAGAACATTACCGTCCGCACGGGCCTCTCGCGCGCGCATGCGGGAATCGAATCGCAATAACGCATTTGCGCGCGCACAGTCGCAATACTTCTTTGCAGCAATTTTGACCAAGTGCGCACGCGCATGCCGTCGCGCGCGCATGCCGACATCCGTCAAGATCCTGGGGCCTCGTACAGCAGGGGGGCCATACCAAGGATCGCCCTGCTTGCCTCCAGGGTGCCCTGGGTTTCAATGGTTTCGATTGTTTCCCTATGGAAAACGTGACGTTCCCACAGCAAACATCAATTGACGTCCTGGGGTCTCAGGGTTGGGTTTCTTCTGGAAAGTCTCTTGTGGACTGGCCTCCACTGTAAAGGCTGCAAAATCGAGTGCCCCCAACAAATATACAATCTCCCGGTTCTGCCACATCGATGTTCGAACAAGAAGCCTGCGTTTGCGGTCTTGCGAACCCTTCAGACGACCGTCGATGTACGAACATTGTCATTGCATTCTGCCAAAGGGGCCTTGCGCGCCGCACCTCGAAATCATTCTAACGCTCCTGCACGCGCGATGGGGGGGGGCATGATCCGTGCCAAACAAAACCATGCGGGTCACTGGCGCGCGTCGGCCGCGCGCGCATGTCGAACTCCCTCAACACACATTCATCACCGACGCGAGGACGCCGTCATCGTCGTCGGCATGATCAGGGTCGGCGCCGTCACTGACCGTGCCGCCGTCGTTGCCACCATCGCCAACAGCATCGTTACTATCATCGCGTCTACCGTTGCCGACGTTGCCACGATACCGCGCCCGCCTGAGTCGCCGACTCGCATTGAAGTTTCTGCTTGGAAGTGCCCAGCGGTCAGCGCCACCGCGACCGCGTCGGTCGCGCCAGACTAGCTGACCGCTTTGCGTTCGAGCATGCGGGCTAGCGCGGCCGCGGCGATGCGCCAGCCAGCGCCGAGCAGCCTTCGCAATCGCCGCCGCATGGGTTGTGCCAACCAAGTCGCGGGTGGTTGGGCGGGATGATTGCGCGAGCAGTGGAGTTGACAACTTCACGCTTGGCAGTTTGAGTTGCACCACGTAAAACGCACTACACCGCTCACGCCCCAAAGCCCGAACCACGTAAATTGCACCACGTAGATTGCACCACGTAGCTTGCACCATATAGCTTGCATCGCATAGCTTACGTCACATAGCTTGCACCACGTAGATTGGTTTACCCAGTATGCTAGAGACCACCGTTTTGGGGCCCGCGCTTGTTAACATATGTACAACTACCCATCTTCGCACCAGGCAACCCTTGGGACTACCATCGGAATAACCATCGAGACAACCGTCGGGACAACGATCGGAATAGCCATGAATAGCCATCGCGACAAACATCGGGACAACCACCGGCATACGATCTGGACAATCACCGGGACAACCACCAAGACAATTGGCGGGACAGCCTAGGAGCTTCCAGAGGCCACCATTCGGACGCGGGGCGGTCCTCTTTGGTGTCGGATTTGCTTTAGCAAGGGCAGGCACCCGCGAAGTTTCGCCCCGTCCTCACGGATAACACGAGCGAGCCGAAACGTCCTCCAGGGTTGGCCGTTTTGCGTTTCACGTCGGTCTCCCCCCCATTCTCCGATCAGCCATACTTTCAGAAATGACCCAAACTTGCAATACCATGCGTAATGACAAGCGCTCGTCAAGGCAGCAGCAGGAGTTGCAATGCTACCACCATGTGGGTGATGGTAGAAAAGGGGGCCCTCATCATGCAACACATAGTTGAACCACCCACCGTACCATAACACGTACAGCTACCAGTATTTTGGTTGGGCTGTTGAAGCGTGTAGGAGCTGCAATGCCATGGACTTTCGCATGGGTCGTAGTCGTATTTGGCAGAACCGCAGTATTTCTCTAATAGTGGTGCCGTAGACATTGTAATGACGGCGGTAGTTTGTAGTCGTGTTCGCAGCGTCAGTCGCATACCATTGGGAATGACAGCATCAGCTGCGGCAGGACAGGATCGGTACTGCTCGGCGTCCTCTGGCTTCTCCTGTGTTTCTCGAAATCCTCCTCAATCTTCCTCCGCCTCCTTCCCTTCCACCCCCTTTCTCCCCAGGGCCCGAGCTGGAACGGTGTTTTGGCTATCCTTGTGGACCGATTTCGTTTTTTGACCTCGTCTTGCATGCAGAGGTGGAAGGGGGAGATAGCGCGAGGGACCACGGACACCGAACGAACACGGAGGACTCTGCTGAGTTCGAGCCTTGATCCTCCCTCCCTCGCTTTTAATGGGCCGACCGCTACTATACGTTGGAGGGCGAGGAGGAGGAGGAGGAGGAGGAGGAGGAGGAGGAGGAGGAGGAGGGGGGGATGAGGGGGGGGGGGGGAGGAAGGAGGGAGGAGGGGAGGAGGGAGGAGGAAGGAGGAGGAGGAGGAGGAGGAGGAGGAGGAGGAGGAGAGGGAGGAGGAGGTAGGAGGGTGAGGAGGAGGAGGAGGAGGAGGAGGAGGAGGAGGAGGGAGGAGGAGGAGGAGGAGGAGGAGGAGGAGGAGGAGGAGGAGGAGAGGAGGAGGAGGAATAGCTCATCAGCTTTCCTCCTCCGGCCGCCCCTCAGGCCGTGCCCCGCTCCCCGCACGTTGCGCCCCGCGCGGCCGCGGGGGCGCGGCCGCCACCCGACGAGTCCGCGCGGCCGGGCGGCGACGGCGACGGCTGCACGCGGCGCACCCGCACCCTCACGGCAGCGGTCCTGGGCTCTCCCCACAGGAGGCCTCGGTCGTCCGATCGCGGCTCGATCTCGGGGGAGGGAAAGGGGTATACGCATGCCCCTGCCCCTGCCTCGTTTTCCCCCTTGTTGGGCCTCCTGCAGGGAGGCCCTAGTCGCCACCGCTGGATTCTCGCCTCGAGATTCTGGTCAGAGCGATCCCCGGGAGAGGTCCGCGGAGTAGCGGTATCGGTACCTTGTGGTCTCCCCGCGACTGCCTTTCACACCCTCACGGCAGCGGTCCTGGGCTCTCCCCACGGAAGGCCTCGGTCGTCTGACCTCGAAGGAGAAGAAGAAAGACCGATATAAAACATAAGCTTTTGGCGCTCCACGCGTATTTCTTGGCTCCGCGCTGGGCTCCCTTCCTGCGGCGCCTCCGGCGCCGCACCTGGCGCGCTCCGCGCGCCGGGGAGGGGTATCCAGCGCGGATCCACGATATCCGCGCGGACCTCCAACAGTTTATGATTATGTGGTTTTTCAGTCCTCTACGATCGCGGCTAGATCGCCTTCACGGCCAGAGCGCAGGAGCGGAAGTTCGGCCAGCTGCTCCAGCGTCCTGGGCCTCCCGGGGGCCGCCGTGGGTCCCAGGAGTCTCACACCGAGCAGGAAGCAGTGGCGCGACGTCCGTGCGACCGACGCGCCGTGTGCCAAAATGGGGCCCCGATTGCTCGAGCATTCGCGCGCCAGCTGATCGCGCGAAGGTCGCGCGCATGCGCCCTCTTTTCCGCGTGGCGTGCCGCGGCAGTGGACTGCGCATGCCGCCGTATGGAGGTCGCCGAGCCTTGGGCTTGTCTGTGGGTCAGAGAACGGGGTCGTCTGTAGGAATGGCCCCAGAAAGGGGGCAGGGAGGGCGACTAAAACGGAAATCCGATTGCGTTTTGGCGCGAGGGTTTTGGGGGTCAATTTGTTGTTTCGGATTTTGCTTGAGCTGTGCGGAGCCCTCCCGTCGTTGTGCTCGGAGGGGTCTTCTGAGCCACGGTGCCCGACGCTGCTGGGAAGCTCGGGGGCGGGGCAGGGGCAGAGGCCGGAGGGCCCGAGTCGTGAGTCGGGCGCGTCCCCCTACAGGGGGATTTCCGACGAAAAAACGTGCCCCACAAATAATCAAAACATAACCCAAACATCGTCAGGGGACTATTGTTGTAGCATTTGTTGACCTTTTTGGAGCATGCTCTGGGTATTTTGTTTTCATTTTTCGTCGAAAATCCCCCTGTAGGGGGACACGCCCGACTTGACGTCGATCAGGTCTCGCTCTCGGTCCGCCGGCGTGGGTGGTCCATCGCTCGGGATCGGGACGAGGACGATCGGTGGGGCGCCAGGTCGTCGTGCGTGTCGGCGCTGCGGGGGATAAGAGGAGGAGGGAGCAACGAAGAGGCGGGGAGGGCAGGCGCTGCACGCAGTTGAGGCAGCAGCTGTGCATATTCCAGACTTCGTAATACAGGGAGGGGGGTCTCATTTCGGGGGGGGGTCTCTTCCAGGCTATCTTGGAGGGCCTGGGGGGTCTGGGGACGATGTTTTGGAGGGTTCTCCCACGGGGGAGGCCTGAAATGGCTTGTCTTGGAGGGTCCAGACCCCCTCCCTTTTATTACGAAAATTGGAGTACAGATGGGGGGAGCCTCGCCTCAGCAGGCGATGGGCACACCCACGTTGTGCATGTGCCGCGTCGCTCTGGACAAGAACATGGTAAGAGTGCGTGCAGCCCAAACAGTTCACTCGTGCATCAGGTGTGGATCCCCGAGCGAGTATTTGTGCGCGCGCGTGTGTGTGAACGTGTGTGTGTGTGTGTGCGTGTTTGTGAACGTGTGTGTGTGTGTGCGTGTGTGGGGGTGTTTGTGTGTGTTGTGTGTGTGTGTGTGCGCGCGAAGCCCCGCGTGTCGAACCCCATGCCGTCGGTGCTCCCGAGGCCGAGTACAGTCGCGGGCCCCATGGGCCGCACACGCCGCCGAACTTGGGAACCAGCCTTAACTCGGGCTTGTCCCTCTACAGGAGGAATCTCAAAAGCAGTCGAAAGATAGTCGGGGCACGATCCTTTGACTCTGCCTCTGAAGTTATCTCGACCATGTTTTATCTTCCCTCCCACATCCGTCTGTAGGGGGGACACGCCCGACCTACAAGGCAGCCTTGAAAAGGCCCCCCCCCCCTGGGAAACTCGCCAGGCCCAGGCCCCGAGACCCCCCTGTTGGCCCCCGCCGGCCCCCGAGGCGCGGCGCCAGCACGCCGACCCACGATGGCGACCTCGCGGGACTCGTGCTGAGTCGGGCCCGTCCCCCTACAGGAGGGATGTGCAAAAGTAGTCAAACAACTAGTCTGGGGCCCAGACCCCCTCGAGTCATGAAAAAATCACGGCGGGAGGTGTTTCGCTATTTTCGGCCTCCGGGGGCCCTTACCGGCCCTTAGGACCGTCAAAAAACGACTCGGGATGAAAAACCGGTCCCTGGGAATGGGTCCGGAACTTTGGGGGTCGCGTCCTGAAAAAGTCATGACGTCGGGGGTCTGGATGTTCAAGAATAGTCAAACAAATAGTCTGGGGACGATTTTTGTGTAACTATTTTGGGGCATTGTCCTTCAATTGTTCAAGGAAGTGTGTGCGGGCAATGTCTATATCCACATCCAGTGCGTCTTGGAGTTTCGGACTCTCTTCCCAAGAAACACGAGGCGCACTGGATATGGATTATTATCTGCCTCCAAAAAGCTCAACTTTTATCCATATCCAGTGCGCCTCGGCCTTGCGGCGCCCCTTCCAAGAAAGTCCAAGACGCACTGGATATGGATATAGATATTGCCCGCAGTGTGAGGGTCCCTGATTTGGGATGCAACGCTCGAACCAATCTGACCACTGAACCCCTCCCTCCCCCGTACAGCCGGCCAGCCTGCGAGACGGCCCTTCCTGTGTGCTGCCCGCCGGCCCTGTAAGGGGGACAGGCCCGACCTGAGTCTCGAGGCGCAGAAGACCGGAGGCCAGGAGCAGACCAACGACCCCCCGTAAAACGACGCGAAGATCGGGACAAAAAAGGATCGGGATAACTCGAAGTCTCTGAGAATCGGCGGGTTTGGAGGATGTATTGGGCGCCGCGGCCGCTCCAGAGCGTTCCGGAACGCTCTGAGAGCGCTCCGGAACGCTCTGGATCGATTATCCCGATCCTAGCCCTGTTTTAGGCCAGGAGCAGACCAACGACCCCCCATGCGCACCTCATGCTCTGAGTTGCCTCGGCACGCCCATTTTGAAACGCAGCGCGTCCCGTGTTCCAGGCGTCCGTGTCAATACGGTACGTGCTGCGTGTTGCGTCTCGGGGCAGCTAAGCTCATGCTTGGCCAGCGAGCAGCCATCATGGCTACGCATCGCTGGCAGCAACGCCCTCACTCCGCGATGCCGCAACCGCCGATCCCTTTTGGCCTGCGCTATCTAAGAGTGTTTCTTCGCCGCGGAGGTGGTCTTCAGGAGTCCGCTCGAGCCAGCCTTCAGTCGAGCCTGTCCCTCTACAGGAGGCATTTCCCAAAATAGTAAAAACATAGTCTGGGGACGCTTTTCGGAGTATTTTGCAGTATTTTTGACAAGTGCCTGTCTTTGAAAATTTTCGCCCCAAGTCCGCCTCCAGGGGGGACATGCCCGACCGAAAGCGAGCCCGATCCAGGGATGGCCCCCGACGAGGGCAAGTGCCACCTGCACCTCGTGGCAGGCGAGGCCACAGGGCAGCAGACAGGCGGCGTCGGAGCCACTCCCCTGTTCCACCTCTCTGCCTGCGGGTGCGTCGGGGGTGGACAGAACCCGAGCCAGCCTTCACTCGGGCCTGTCCCTCTACAGGAGGAATCTCAAAAGCAGTCGAAGGAAAGTCGGGGCACGATCTCTTGATTCCGCCCCTGAAGTTATCTGGACTATGTTTCATCTTCCCTCCCAAATCCGTCGGGGGCGGACAGAGCCCCCCGCAGTGACACATCGATTAGTGAGTTGTCCGTTTTCGGTTCTCGAGAGGGCGCCGTGGCCGTTCTTTTCCAGGCTTGCGCCCGCCAGGTTTGGGCCTCAGGTCGTTTTCACGAAACCACGTTTTACTGAAGGGGGTCTGTCCATCCCCGAGTGCGTGCCTTGCCCCTGAACCACGCGGCCTGCCCGCTTGCTGTGATACACGATCTTCATGTGTTGTGTCGCCCATGCTCGCGTTCACACGCTGGTCTGGGGTCCCTCTGAGTCGTCTTCGGCCTGGGCGCATGCCGGGGCTGCAGTCGGAGTTTCCTCCACCGCAGAAGCCCCGTGCGAGCACCAGGAAGACCGATAACTTCTTGCCTGCGCATGCCCTGTGCCCGTTGTCTGGAGCCCCATGCGTGCGGCGCACGTGCGTGTGGAACCCTGTCCGCGTGGAACCCCATGCGTGAGGAATCCCATGCATGTGGAACCCCGCGGAGTTCCAGATGCCGCGATGTGCGAAACCGCATGGGGCAAGACCGGTCCGACCCAGACAGAACAGGCCAGTTCGAATGGCACAAAAAGAGGGGACAAGCATTGCTCTGGGGAGTTCGGGATTGATCTAGATCAGGATCAGGCCAGGATGAAGCCTGGGCCAGGGGGGGGCGGTGCTTCTAAGGTTTCGCCCTGCTCCAGACTAGCCTGAAGGGCAGCGTGATGCTGACGGCCTGAGCGCCCAGTAGCAGCTTGGAACCAGCCTGCACGGTGGTTACTCCGCACGGTTCTGTGTGCACCGGGCCCTTCATTTTAGAGGAGGAGGAGAAGGAGGAGGAGGATGAGGAGGAGAAGGAGTGGGAGGAGGAGGAGGAGGAGGAGGAGGAGGAGGAGGAGGAGGAGGAGGAGTGGGAAGAGGAGCAGGGGGACGACCACCACGACATTCACGACCTTTTACAAGCCCCTGGTTGGGAGTCAAGCCGGCGGGGCCTCGCGCGGTCTGCTCTATCCGCCGCTGCGTGGTGAGGTGCTCGTGCTGGGAATGCCCTTCAAGACATCGGGCACGCGCACATGGGGGGTAGGGAGAGGGGGGGCGGCTT